TAATAAGCCATGTGCATAAGATCATCCAGGACCACAATATCCACCTAACACGTGACTACTCTAGTCTGGTGATGACTTTCAGTTTTAGGATGACAATCATAAGAAAGGAAATAGATCTGAATTACCATAATCAAACAAGCAATTTTCAGGTAATGAGGAAGCCACAAGTCAATGATTTTACTGAAACATCCCATGGGGTTTCTAAAGCTTCAGTAGAACTCCTGGATTTCTGAATGGAGAACCAAGGTCCTCTACTCGGGTGTTAAACACAAATTGAACTCAAATCAGTGCAGGCTAATCTTTTTACTGTTTAAGCAATAGAGAAGGGAAGTATTATTCACCAAAATAATTTGGTTTCATTTAATTGTTTATTCAGTTTACACATGAATAAAAATCGAAACAAATATTAGGCCAAACAAAAGACTTTGCGCAAGTTCTAACAATGGGCAACAAACAGATGAACCATAGAATTTTACCAAGATTTGAACCTAGTAACTTTAAATTTTAATGCTGCAAAACATAATGTCATTAGATAACTAATTATCCTAAAAACTTAAGTTTATAGGAAAAGATTTACCTTTATTTTTTATATTCTAAAGTATTCCATCAAGGTCCATGTAGGACAGACACAATATTGCACAAGGGAGACAAAAAACTTATTCTTTCTGTTCTCTACCACAAAGGAGAAATAGGCATCCCACGCTTAGGTTTCACCAATTTATAGGGCTTCAATCTCCCATCGTCAGAAAACATGCAAAGCAAGAGTTGCCTATATTTTAGTAGTCAGTAACTGGATCCTCATCTCAACTCATACAACACTGTTGAGTATCAGTTGGAATTGCTAAAAGAAACTCACTTGATCTATATGGGTGCCTCTACTCTTCATTCTTTCAACTGCTTTTACTTTGCATTCCCAGAGTAAATGCCAACAAATTTTATATCATAGAGGAGAGTTGCGTTGCCAGGTATGTTGCAGTCACCTACATAAACAGCACAGGTTTCAATGCACAAACAATCATTTTAAAAATCACTTAATGCTGCAGTTACGTATGCCTTTTTCTACAAACTACCAAAATATCAACAGACACAGACACAGACTTTTATAGAGAGGGAAAGGGAGAGAACGAGATGGGAAAACAGATGATTGGAGTCAAGTGTAGTGCAAACAGTCACCTGAAAAGCATCCAGCAGGCTCTGGTCCATATGCTAGGTGTGGTGGGATCTGAAGCCTGCGCTTTCCACCTGCGTAAAATTTGTACAATGATGATTCTTCAGAAGATCTGAACCAGCACGCTAAAAATAAAACAGAGAAAACATCAAGACAATTAACCTACAGATTTCATACCTATATGCATAGGAGATACTCCATCACCCCCCAAAATCCCTTGATCCACTCCCTTATTAACCTGAATACAGAAAGATATTATAATTAGAGCAATTGCCAGCAGATTGTTAATACATAGATATAGGAATGCCCAAGAGGAGTTATAACTGAACAACAGCTGTCCTATTATGTTTTCACATAGGACAAGCATTAAGCATATGGTATCTGAATCACATTTCAAAATGTCAACCAAACTTTATACAGCAGGCGTTATTCATTACAACTGCTATATTATTTATTTTTATTGGCCTCTGATTATGAGATAATACAGGTAGGTTACTATTCCCACTAATAAATTTGCTTGCCACAATTTGAAGCGACAAAGTACTTTATTTTCAAAACTTTGCAGGTACCAAATTAACAGCCAACAAATTGGCAGAATCATGAAGGTGTTACTACTTGACCTCTAGGAGGCAGCTAGAACCACATGCAAGCACACATATATACGACTTCACAAGACAAAGTCCATCTCTCTTTCCTAGATGAAGTTTCACACATTGCTGCACTCAGCATCCACTGCTTCTTCCCAAGCATGAAACTTCTGTTGAATAATTTTGCTTGTATTTTCCTTTTCCGTGGAATCATATCTAACACATGACAAAGGGGTAGCAATAGGACACAAGAATGTTCTTCAAATATTCAGGAAGTCAAAAACAGATCCTTTCCTTTTTTTTTTTTTCTGAAATAAAGATCCTTCTTTTTTTTTTTATCAAAAGAAAAAATATACTAAAAGAAGGAAGTAATAACAAGTTGAGGAATTCTACCTACAAAGGAATACATAAAATACTGATCCTCTTGCCTTAGCATTAGAATGTCCAAACATTGTTCAATATGATTGTATATTATTAGATTTCAGGCCACTATATTGCCAATGAAACTTGATTGAGCTAATAGTTTAACAGCATCATAACATCATACCTTGCCAACACCAATACGCATTGTGAGAGGTCTAGCACGTTTATAGCTACTGTCGAAGACAGTCCCATCAGCAAATCTTGCAGTGTAGTGAACCTACCAATAACATAACAGTAGACATTTCACGAAATTGCAGATGCCTACTTCACTTGTATGCATATTTGTCTATAACAAAAATTACTGTAGTATTCAATATAGTTAATGCATTTTCATAATATAATCTAGGGATTACAATGATAATTCTTCTTCTAAAACAAATTAATGACTATTTTTTAAACAACACATTGTCTTCAAAATTTAACCAAACAGAAATATAACAATTATTGAGGGAAAAAATCCTCTATCATTTTTTCTTAACATCGATTCTTTTCCTCTTTCCTCAATCACCATTCCTTCACTGATGCATAGTCTAAGGAACAGAAAAATTACAACTAAACTAAGATGTTGGATAAAGAGATGTCAGCACATTTTCAGAAATAAAAAAAAGGAAAAAAAAAGGAAATGACACAAATCAAAACTAGCCAACTAACATTGATGAGCTCACCGCGTGGGGCCTCCTGGCCGGCCCCTACATGAACATCACAGTAACCAAGCCCAGACGGTGCAAAGTTGAACTCGCATAAAGGCTCTCCTACAGTGGCATAGTACTCGATCCTTGTCGCGTCAGCATCCAATGGTGACCAGGCAAGAACTGAAGCTGCTAATAACCCGATACCCGAATCGAATATACATTTCTTGACGGCAAATTTATTCGAGGCGGGTTTCAAATTCAATTGATTCCCATTTGCATCTGGTGAAGAAGAAGGTAAAGAGCAAGAGCATGGAAGTAGCGAACAAGAGGAAGCCGGTTTGAAGTTACAGATTTGAAAAGGGGGAAGGTTTGAGGTTGTAGTTATGGCGAAAGCAGAGACCGCCATTTATTATCTTGGTTGTCAGTGAGGTCGGAAGGTCTATCTAGCAGTTTGAAATTGCCGTGGAAAGTAGATAGGAAGAAGAAGGGCCCACTTAGAAAAGAATAAATCCTGGCCGTTGGATTCAGATAAGGGTACTGATTAATTTTGTTTTGTTTTATATTAAAATTACGTTACTTATTTTAATAGTTTTAAAATAAGAGGCTTGTGTTAATCACATTCTAAAACTAATTATCGCTAATCCTAAAATTACCCCATCAGTCTTATGTACTTTGTGATTATAATAAATAGAATATTTAATCAATGAAATTTATTTAATTATAAATAAACTAAGAACAAAAACGTAAATTCAAGAATTTTTTCTTCATATTCATAGAGGAGAACAAATATTTCTTTTTTGAATGAGAATTTTACATAACCGGGGGACCCATTATTTATAATTGAAATTGAGAATTGAAAAAGGGGTTCCATTAGATATAGTGAGGTGATATTCCGGGTTCTCACAAAGAGAATCATTTCTTTCAATATTCACTCATTATTAGTTAAGAATTATTAGTTAATAATCCTAGCAATTGTATCTATATGCTTATTCTGATAGGAAATGAACTATTCAAATGATTTTTTTCATCGAATGACTATTCATCTATTGTATTTTCATGTAAATAGAGGCCAGAAAGCTCTATGGAAAAATCGTGATTCAATTCGATGTTGTCTAAGGGGGAAGTAGAATACAGATGTGGACTAAGTAAATCAATGGATAGTCTTGGTCCTATTGAAAATACTAGTATAAGTGAAGACCCGGTTATAAATGATCCGGATAAAAACATTTATAATTCCATTTGGGGTGAGAGTTCTAGTTATTACAGTAATGTTGATCATTTAGTCGGCGCCAAGGACATTCGGAATTTCATCTCGGATGACACCTTTTTAGTTAGGGATAGTAATAGGGATAGTTATTCTATGAATGGGATTATAACAATAATGATCTGATCACATTGAGTGTGATTGGTTTTGTATAATGCAATATCATTAATGATCATAAAAAGTTTATGCAAAAATATATTGGTCCCAAGATTGTTATAATATATATATATATATTAGTGTTAAGGTGTGATCAAACATTTCATTTGGGTGCAATTCTTTTTATACTAAGTATATGTATATATAATTTTTAACATGCTTTATTGATCTTATAATTAAGGATATCTTGTAAATAATGTTTATCATTATAATTTTATTAAAATGCTTTTTTCTTGATAATTATTGGAATGTTATCAACATCACAAATAACATTAATATTGAGCAACATATAATAAATAAAAATTTAATGTATTTACATTTAGTAATTACATTAACAATATTTTAATCAAAATAATATTATGATAACAATTATCTCACACGATCATATATTTATCCTCAAGACATATATTTTTAATGGCTCTCAACTTTTTAATAAATATCATTAAAACATGTGTTTGTACTTTAAATTTTCACTTGTGCATAAATATATAAATTCATCAAGAATTTAACATCAACATTTATAGATATAATTATTCTCCTCTAAACTAGAAAGAGATTAAAATTTCAAAATCTTCCAAAGTTGAAATCTTCAGTCAAACATGTTGTCATGACATTGCTGATTATCCTCCACATTGTTTCCTCCAAAACCCCATACCTCCTTGTCTCCTATCTCACGCTGCAATCACATGTGTGTGTACAAAAATGGTGAGAGATAAAGAATTGAAAACATCATATTTTCAAAGTTAAAAATTCTTCAGGTATGAATTTTAATATTAAATAGAGTGTTTATGAATGTCATTTCCTACGTATCACAAAATAAATTTTAATACTTAAAATTGTGAAAATTAATTTTCAAACCTGATTAGGAAAAAAAATATTATTGAAATAAAGGTCAGATGGAGTCATTGGTGGTAAATTCAATTGATTAATAGAAGACTGATCATTCCCACCATGTAGGTTGCCATGCTCCGGTAGTGGCGACAGGTTCCTCAAAAAAATAAGAAATAACATTAAACAACTATTAATATATAATATTACAATATTTAAGTAACTATAATAGATGTTATAACAATTAATTAATTATTTATAATCCTAAAGTACGTTTTGATTTTTAGATAAAATTTATAATAATAATAAAAAAAAAAAGTAAACGTACCAGTTATTGTTATCGAGAGACGTAATAGTCTCTGTAGATTCATAAGTTGCAAGACCAGTTGGAAAATTTTCCTTATTTAGATAAGTAGTATAGTTCATCATTGACGTTGTACCATTTTCTACATTTCCAGTGTTCTAATAAATTAAACACACATATGCATTATTATTAGGTTAGAAAATGAGAAGAAGAAGTCAAAATTAACATTGAATAAAAGCTTAACCAAAAGGTAACATAAATAAAGAGTTCATACCATTTCCCAGTTGAATTCAGATGCCTCTGTTTGAAACTGTTGGTCTATTGTGTATGGTGTCTCATCAATTACTACTCCCACTGGTACCTGTAGCTTTTAAAAGATTAATACATTATTATTCATTAGACTATTGGGAATTACATGGGCTGATATTTTTTTCTTTTCTAAAAAAATATGATTTAAATTGATAAAATATATTTTTTGTTGTTCTCTCAATATTTATTAAATATGTAATTACAAAAGTAATAAAATTGTTTAATTAAAAAGATGATTTTTAATAAATTTTTTAAATCATAAATATATATTTTTTTTTAAAAAAAACATTTGTCATTTTCTGTTAGAAAAAAATTTTAAATTATATAAAATAAAAGAGTGACAAATTAAAATAATTTTAAGAACTAAATTATAATAAGAGGAATAGTAAAAAACTAACTCATAATTTATCTTCATATATATATATATATATATATATTTTCTTAATAAAATCATTTGTCCTATTTTCAAATATATTTTTATAATAATATCTTAATCAATCAAATATAAGAATATAAGTTTAGTTTTTCATTTAAAAAATTAAAAAAATTATACATACCACGGAAGAGCTATCTATATTTCTGAAGCACTGCTCAATCGAAAGAAGAGATGTCATGTCATCCATTGTCATCGAATTAATAAACTACATAGTATTATCAAAAAGTAAATATAAGTTATGTGTATCAATATACATTATCTTTATTGAATATATATATATATATATATATAATATCTCATACTACAAATATAAAATACAATATTCATACTTATTTAAATATATGTTTGATAATTATTTTTAAGCATTATCTAACTTTTGAAAAATCTAATACGGTATCACTGTCAGTTATATTTTATAACTTACTTACTCAAGTACATTTTTCACTTAAAGGTAAATTTTAAAAAGTGCATATTTATTTATTTAGATACATATTTTAGATAACTTTATTTAGATTATATTATAACATATTTTGGCTCTAAATATATATATACACATAAATATTAGTGCGTAAGTAATTACCTGATTATCAGATGGGACATTGAAGAAACCATTACTTGGTTGAAGTGACTGCAGAGCTGGAGATGAGGAAGATAAGGGATGCTGCTCGGTAGAAGTGAAGGCTTGAGGAGGAACGACACCGTTTTGGTTGCCAATTCCATTAATATCATCACCTTCAAGTTCTGCAACTTGTCTCCTGTATGTGTGTGTTTGTATACATATACACACATCAATCACACACACACACACACATACATACACACTCAAACACACGAAGCCAAGCATTTTGTATTCAACAATATATATACAAATATATAAATATGTATATATATATCATCAGATTGAATAATAAAAAGATAATGATGATAAACCTCAAGGGACTGGAATTATTGATGAAGGAATCATCTTGGATATTCATGAGCAGATCATCATCCAGGTCCATCATCAGCTGATCAATATTATTCCCAGTTGAGGAGTTGCTTATAAGGTTTTGATCATACAGGTTCATCATCAACTGATCAATACTGTTCCCACTTGAGTTGCTTATAAGGTTTTGTTCATCAACGTTCATCATCAGCTGGTCAGTATTATTCCCACTTGAGTTGTTGGAAAACAACGGTGCCTCAACTTGTCTCTTCTCTAGATTCTGATCATTTACATACATGTGTGTGTACATATCATCAGTTAATTATTTGCTTAGCTCATATAACCAAAACACCAGCAATAATGGAAAACTTCAAATTAATGCAAAAGATTCAAAGCATTTGTTATTTATACACACCTTTCTCATGCACAAATAGATTAACACAGTTTGATCTCTACTTATTGATAATATGCTAAATGATTGATTATGAAAAGTATTCAAAAAGTTTAAACTAACTATAGAAATGATCAGTTGATTATATATCTTAAACAGAAGAATGCAGATTTTAGGTTCCATTCTTTAAATTATTGATTAGAACCATTATCATAATAGAAGTTTGAATTAAGTAGGAGACAGAATCTATTTCTCATTCATATAATTTTAACATCTGTTAATGAATTATCATTAATTACCCCCACGATCGAGAAATGCCCGTTTGAGGATGACAGCTTCGCAAGCAACAAATCTTGCTGAAAACAAAATAAGAAGGAAAGAGAAAAAAATAAGTAAAAAATAAATTTCTTTAAGTGTATATATCCATAAATAACTAGTTGTATAATATATATTAATTAGTTTGAATATTAAGGTGAAGGTGAAGGACAAACTTTTCTGTTTGTGATTCGATTCAGAGTATTTTTCAGATTTTTCTCACACCACATGAGTTGGGTCATTGAAGACTTGTTCTCTTTCTCGGGCTCATACTCCCTTAACAACAATACATATATAAACTGTTAATTGATTGAAATCACACAAATGGACATACATATTTATATATATGTAGCGAATCTTGTACGAAGGATATTTTGTGTCACTACATTTACTTACTTGAGATTGGCCTCAGTGATCTCAAGTTCCACATTAGCCTTCTTAATTTGTAGCTCAAGGTTCTAATAAAAAATCACAATCAATTTAGTGACATAATAATGAAATCAAAAGGGAAGTACATGCAGACATAAATATACAAATACACATATATACAAAGGAAAATGTAAGCACATATATATAAAGGAAAATATAAGCACACATGCAGATACCATAGGCACCTATAATAGAAAGGATACATGGACATTCAAATATGCACGACTACCATTCAAGTATACACTAAACTATACGTTCTATCTCTACACGTGCATATGTACACACATATAGAATGAGAATTCAACCATACACTTAAAGCATATATATCCATATTATTCTTTAAGGTCTTACTCACTGCTCATAATAAGGCATTAGAATTCATACTTTAAATCTTTAAGCTCTTGCTTCAATAGTTTATAGTAATGATTATCACTATTTTATATTCTCTGTCAACCATTATTTTCTATTCTCATAATTGTATTACTTATTTACAAATTTATTTTTTATTTTTCTTATGGTTAAGTAATAAAGATTTATTCAATTTATTTTCCATCTTTCTTAACTTATTGACTTTCAGTTTCATTAAAAACTAATCAATTTTTGCTCTAATTGGCAAGTGACTTAGGAAATTTAGTAATTCCTTAAATAAAAACATTAGTCGTCACATTAAATGTTCGCAATATAATGAACGAAATTGTACGATACAAAGGAAGATAAATCATATTCTTGATAGGTTCTTGCACTCTTGGACCTACCACACTTCCACGTCACTAGGTTCTAACACTTTATTGAAGTTGTAATCTAACTCATAAATCTTTTGCTCATTCATGTTCTTAACACTAAATCTTTATCTTTCAGTCTCTTTTGAATTATCTCACACTATAATGTAGCTTATCATGTCCAAATAGTAACTTATTTTCAACTATCTAAACGAGCAACCGATCATGGGCTTAAAGCTCCAAATAAGCATGCCCTTTTTTTCATAGTTGATGTGTATCACAATTACTATTATTCGAGTTCTCCAAAATTAAGGTGAGTTTAAATCCTATTATATAGTTGCACATCAAGCTTTTGAGTTTAAATTACTACTGTCTTGATTGGAGCTCCATTACTTAAGGAATTCATATTCAAATATGATCAAGTATCATTATTCTATTCTAAGTTCGAATTTAAATGCCATGTCAGCTGCTATCATCGATTTAAATAATAACATTTCTTTAAATTCAAATGTTCCTTGTCTATATTAATCTCATTTGTAAACCCTTCCAAATTTAAATGGTTTATGGGAAATCCTTACTTTTCCATGGACAAATGAATTATAACTGAATGCCATCCCTACCAATAAGGGATGAGAAATGATCGAAATACCCCCCCTTCCCTCCCCAAATCCTTGCAAGCTTTTATAATGACTTTACATGATTATCTAAGGTTTTCTATGAAAGATTTCTAGAGAAAGTTTGTAAAGCTTACTCAGGAGACAAAAGACGATAACAATAAAGTGAAACAAAAATTTTTAATTCATCAAGAATTAAAAGTTGAATTCAAGTGAAGGAGGCCTATTCATGTGATTATATAAAGAAAAGACGACTAATCAAAAGGAACATAAGCAATATACCTCCTTTTTAGGTTACATTAGCCATTTGGGATATTTCTTAATTGACATCCTCTTTTCTTTTCCCTTTACACCCATGCACTCATTCTCCATGTGAAAAATATACCACTACAAATACTACAATAACCAACTCTAACTATTTAATGCATCCCTCAATCCATTTATCAAAAACATCCTCCACGACAATGAGAAAGAAAAAGAGTTCTCAAAAACACTAAAGAATTATTATATAATAGTCTCTTACGTCAGAGGAGAAAACCCTGACATCTCCTTCAACACCACTCAATGGGTGTATATCTACATAGGGAAGTACTTTTTCAAAGCCTTTTATGAGAAAAGACACCATCTTGGGAAAATAAAATATCCCTTACTTCTAGTCAATTTGGTAGTAAGGCTTTATGAAGGAGGTAACAACATCACACATCACATTATACCAATTTAGAACTAGAGAAAGCCACAACCCCACCAACGATTCTAGACGAACCTGAATTAGGGCGTGATATCATGGCCTAGCTTGCTAATACCTCTATCCAAATGCCTTTAGATACCATTGTTTACTTCATGTGTTGTAACTTTAAGGCCTTTACAGAATGAAACTCAAAAAGATTATTTTTCTCCTCATGTTGAGCCTTAAATTTGAAATCTTTAAGTTTTAACTTGTAAAACTACTCTTTGTGATAAAAAATCTTGAAATCTTCAATTCATTCTAATGAATCTTATAAGAAAGAAATATAACCTCTTTTAGATAAAAAAATTAAGAAAATACTTGCAAGGTTGAGTTTGGCCTCGAGTATAAAAACATTATAAGGGTGAGCTAGGCATTGGAAGAGATAAACATTGAAAAGATGAACTTAACGCTAAGAATAATAAGCATATGAGACGAATAACTAGTAGATCTGGGAAAACAAATGGTTGTAATTGAAGGAAGTTATTTACGGAACTCTTAGATCAAATACTTGAAAAGAGGATATAGACTTGTATTCAACCAAACCTCTATAAGTTGTGACTGTATCTTCTCTCGCTTACTCTTATTTAATGTTCTTGCATATTTTATCATTGAGTTGTATTAATTAAGTTTGAGTTGAATTTTTTTAAACATCATATGAACTTAATGAATTTAAAATTGTTAAAAAGTTAGATTGAGGAATAAATTTACCCCCTCTTGAATTGCAATGGTAATTAGGGATAATAAAAAGCTTTAATAAAATAAATAATATAAGATATGACATAGCCTTTGAATGATGAGGTACAAGCTTTACTCTCAAATAACTCTTAATCTTTGGTGTCGAAGCCAATTAACTATATTATTATTAAGAATATGTGGATCTTTTGCATCAAGTGCAAATTTAATGACAATACTGATTGTTACAAAGACCAACTACTCACTAAAGGCTATTATCAACAAGAATGAGTGACATATATTTTATGAAGACCTCTAATCTCATGGTAAAATTTACTTTAATTTGTCTATTACTTGCTTTTCATGTTTCTTTTTATTAGAGTCTCCAACAATTTGATATAATGGCTTCATTTATTTATCTATTACCTCAAAAATGGTTATCTTTCAATTCTTATCTATGTTGATAAAATTATTTTTTTATAGGTAACATATATGGTGTTATTCTTCCATCCTATATAAATTGGAATTTGAGTTTGTAACGAACTAACTTGGTTGTTTGTACTTTTTCTTGAGTATGGAAGTCACTCATTCCACTAATAATATGCTTGTATCCTAAAAGAAGTATCTTACAAATATTTTCACAAACAACAAAATGGATAGTGTTAAGTAGTTCTAACATTTGTGCTAATCAAGGGGTCCTTCACTAAGTGTTTCTTTACTTCCTTATCCTTATCCATTTTATCAAATAAGAAGAGTCTTTTAGTATGCAATGTTAATTTTGCCTAACATGACTTTTTTCAATCAACAAACAATATCAATATATTGCATCAGTCATCTTAAGAAATTGGCTTTCATAAACATATGTTTCATTACGTAAAGGGTACCAATTAATTTTGTCTAAATTTCTCTAATTGTGATTTTTCTTTAAAGTGTTTCACTAATGACAATTGGTAGGCTATTTTAAGGAATATTTGTCTATAAATGCGTTCAACATTTATCTTCGCAAGTGAAGAAACAACTTGCCATAACCTAATTATTAATAGAGATAGTGAGTACTATTAGACAATTATTAATAACACAATCGAGAATAGCTTGCTTTTTTCCTTATCTATGAGTTATATTTTCCACTACACTACTCTTACCCTATTATGCAGTAACATTTACATCATGTACTTTGCATCTAATCCCCATCATTCATGAACATATCGAATGTATCGAGATTTGACTACTAATTTATTTGAAAACAAGTTTCTTCCTAGAAACTCTAAGTTAAGATCTTGTTAAGCTCCAAGTAAATTATTAATGTTGTCATTAAAGCTGTTAAAAACACCAATAATCCTTAAATGCCATGATAAGCTTTTCCGATGTTCCTTATCACCATCAACTTGAAGGAGGTATCAAGGGTTATAACTTTAATCTTCTAATTATATATATTTTATTCTTTTGCGTACTTATAACTTATAAACTTAGGTACGTTACATGAACTTACGATTATATAATAAATTGAATTTTGAACTTTTCAAAAAATTGAACTTCAAAAGTAACAAAATCTAGACAGATACGAACAAAATGCGCCATGCACATATGTAAAGAAAATTTAAGCACATGCAGTCATGTATATACATAAGTGCGTACACGTATATAGTATGAATTCAAGCATGTGCAAAAACGTATGCATGCATTGACGTAAGCGTCCATATATAGTACTTACTCTTATTCTAAAGTTGACCAGAATAGTTCCCAGATTCCAAACATGATAGCATTGTCAACATACGGCAGTGGCGATATGTGCATTGGAAGGAGAAAAACAATTGAATTATAATCTTATGGAAGGTATATACGAAAGAGACAAACAGATGTAAAACATATTCTTTCAGTTCATTTAAAGCTTTTAAAGAGGTACCATTAAATATAATAAAATTATTGTCTCTCTTTATATAATAAAACAATTATAAACAAGAAAATGTAACAATCAACAGGCTAGTTAACCATTCGTATATGTTGGCATACAAAAGCTAGTACATTGCATTTTAATAGATGATAAAACAATTTAATGAACTTACTTATAAAGGATGCAAAACCTTTCATAGGTAAAGTGTAACTTTAAGGATAAAATCTATCTAACGAGGATAATATACCATTTTGTTCTTTAGGAACGAGGGTAATATACCATTAGTAAATATTCTGTAGAGTTATAGGAGCAACTAAGCAATAAGAAGTAAGATGAAGGGTCCAAAAGTCTTGAGTGAATTTTCAATTGAGATATTATCCATTTTTAGGATTTTGTCATTAAAAAGTCTCTCCATCTAAGGAGAGATAAATAAGTACACATTATCACATGGAACAATAAGAGCTCATATACCATTATAACCTTCATTAACAAAATTTAGAAAACATTAATTTGAGTACTCTATGTTTTCTTTTTTTTTTTTTTTTTGAAAATTAATTTTAAGAATTTATTGGGTTCAATTATCTCTTCTTTTTCTATGTTTAACATAATTTTAATGGGTAAGAAATTTATTCAATTTTAACTTTGTTTCAATTCTCATTTATTTCCTAACCAAATAAAATTGAAGTGATTAGGTTATAAAGCTCTGTTATTTATACATCAATTATTAACAATGAAAAATTTCCGTCGAATCTGTGGAAGATCTATGCACTTACACTTATGTGTGTGTGTGTATGTGTACACACACATATATATATATATACAGTTGGAAGTGAAAATAAATAAATAAATAAATGAGAGACGGGAGGGACGAACTTGTTACTGAGGTAGTGCAACTTATTGTGGTCACCCCTAATGTGGTCAAGTTGCTGAAGCTTCTGAAGCTTCCCCTGCAAATCAAACAAAAATAAATTAAAAGAAGAAGAGAGAATTAATTAATTTAAACTAAAAGAAAATAACAATTAAAAAGTACCTCAAAATTCTTTATATTTCTGATTAATTAATCCGACAGTCAAAACATTCAGAAAGCCGTCAGTAGAAATTCAAACATAAAAAAAAAAAAAAAAAAAAGAAGAAGAAATAATGATGAATTTGTCCGTACTGGTGCTTTTTGTCAGACGGCATATTGATATAGCGTTGCAGCACATCTTCCATCCTGGAAACAAAGAGAAGAAATTTCAAATCGAATTGGAGAGTTGAAATTATTCATAATCGATTAACAAAAATTGAAAACCTTTGTCGGCTACAGTAGTGAGTGACTCGACCAGAAGGTGAGAAAGTGAGGAACAAAACATCTACTCCACAGTAAACAGAGATCTCGTAGGATTTTTTAATAAGACTGTTTCTTCTCTTTGTGAAGGTCACGTGACATTTCGATGAATTCTCTATCTTCTTCAAATCAATCTTCCTCCCCATTTTCTTTTTTAATTCCCAATCCCCCCTCTTTTAATTAATTTATACACTAAACTATATTACTTTCCCCACTCCCACTTTATTATTATTATTATATTTTTTGTTTGCTGCCGTCATGTAACGCCCGTAATGTGTGACACAAAATTTCAAAGGTAACTTACGGCAATTAATTCCGGAAAAAAAGGATTGCTAGATAAGCTCTATCTCAAAAGTCAACCCCCCCTTACTATTTTTCTTTATTTGTCACAATACTATATATTATATCATATTTTTCCATAATTAAATGATAATTTACCATTTAAATCCCATTTACCAAATCTCTCTCTTTTTTTTTTAAAAAAAAAAAAAAAAAAATCTACCATTTTTGTTACCCAATTTTATGATTATGTTAACTAAATTTTCTTTTTTCCTTTTTTGTTATTATTAATTTTATATATAAGTAACACGGCCGTATTTTAATCATTTAAGAATTTTTTTTGAATTTAATAATAAAACTGGTTCCTACTTTATAAGTAAAAAAGTATTTGAACAAATACAATGTCTAATCTTAAAAGTATAAACAACATTACTTTTTTTTTTTTTTTTTTTTTTTTTAATTCTAAATACTTTTTTCACTATAAAATAGCCACCAAACTTTTTATTTTATTTCAAATTATAAATAATATCTAAGTTTTAATTTGGACATAATCTTAATTTCTTATATCTTGTTTAGTTCATTACTTGTCACAAGAAACGCAAAGATAGTTGTACTTCCTCTTCCTCCCCATCATCCTCTTTCATCCATTTTTCCTTCATCTCTCTCCTCTATGTCTCTGTTCATTTTAACTCCTTTCTCTCTCTCTCTCTGTGTCTCGTTCCGATACTTTTAGTTAGTATCTTATTTCTCAAACAAAAAAAAAAATCTTTTTGTAGATCTTTTTCATGTAATCTAACATGATTTGATATTAATTGTTTTATCCCAATTGCATCTGTATTTTACCATATTCATTGAGGTGAAAACAACGTCGCTCTTGACATTGAAGTGATATATATGGTTAAATTTTAGAAATTAAAGTGGCATGTATCGTCGAATCAAAATGAAAAATTAAATAGTTTTTTGTGGGTCTTAGGAGTAAATCAATTGTCTTTTCATGGAATAAAAGTGAATAATCATTTTTTATTTAGGGTTCTAAGATGGTTTAATAGCAAAGAAAATGAATAGTTGGAATTTTTCTAATCACTTATTCGCTGTATGTCTTTTGGAACTTTATGATTCCTTTTTCATATTTATTAATTTCTTATCTTGTTCCAATTTATTTCTCAAGATCTCTTAAATTATTGGTTTATTTTTCACTTATCATATAATATATTTTTTATTTATTTCGTAGCAGTTGCGCCGTTTAGTTATTAGGATTTGGAGTGAGCAGGAGATAAAAGAAAGAGACATAAGCAAGAAAGAACGATATTTCTTTGTTTAATTAATTTTGATTTTACTATATGGATTGGGTAATGCTGGGGGTTTCAATAAAGAGATTGAGGAAGAGAGAGTGAGTGATGAGACTAGGGTGTTAAGTTTTTTTATCTTTTCCAAACACGAACTAAGCTAAATGTAGTTTTTCATCTATTTATTAATAAATTTAGCCTTTTAAACCACACACAAAACTTCAAGAAACTAATTTATAAAAGAAAATAGAATTAAAATGTAATATCGATCATAATTGAGAGACACAATAGGTAAAATCAAAATATTTTCAACTTCAGTAGATGACTTTATTATTAAAGAGTAAGGGGGATTTTCCAATTTTATTTGAGACTAACGATGTGTTTGAGAGTTTTACTTATAAGTGATGTAGCTCTATATTTGTTTTTTTTTCAAAAAAGTGTCTCACTTTAAGAATGAATGTGATCATTCTCTATAAGTAAAAAGAAAATCCAACTCCAGTAGATGACATTTTACTTATCCCGTGTTCTTCGAACGGATCTGTTAGTTGTTGAGAGGGTTGCCCAAAGGCAGTACATAGGGCGTACTCCGTAAAACTTACAAGTAACCCAGATATAGAGATGGCGACTAGGGTTGCTGTTTCCATTATTATATAATTTCAAGACCACAATGGATTTATGCTAAGATCGTTTATTTACAACGGAATGGTATACAAAGTCAACAGATCTCAATGAATACAAAATAAGATTTATGGATACACAAACCGTTGAGGATAGTTATAGATCTGGTCCAAGACGAACTGTTGTAGGGGATTTACTGAAACCATGGAATTCAGAATATGGTAAAGTAGCTCCTGGATGGGGAACGACTCCTTTGATGGGTGTTGCAATGGCTTTATTAGCAGTATTCCTATCCATTATTTTGGAGATTTATAATTATTCC